TTTTTTCTTTTTTTCTTTTTTTTTTTTTTAAATGCTACCATTCTTTTTCTAAGACCTAATGTGACTTCAAAAAAATCTTATTTACTAATGACCTGCAAGAACCAACCCTTCCCTTCACACTTTTTAGCCATGAGATGAAGTCACCAGCAAATGAACCCCTCCCCTGTTGAATGAAAGCTGCACTCTGGGCAACCTCGCACTCAAGACTTTCTGCACTTGGCTCCTAGGGTGTTTGCTCTGAGATCACTGATGAGCACAGCCTTTGCGTGCTCCCAGCCAGTCGAGCCCTGTCCTATTCCCCTGATTTTCTGCCATCCAGATAAAAAGTTGTTGTTTCTCTCGTTAAGGGTGGCATGCTGACAGTCAGGACAGCATCTAGCCTGCAAGGCAGGCAGCTGCTTCCACTGCTGCAGGAGCTGTGCATCAGAGCCCGTTCATCCCTGCTGACCCTGATGCTGCCTGCCTAATCCCAATAAATCACAGGCTCAGACAGCTCCTGCAAACACCCCCTGATGGGCACTAAAAGCAAGGAGGAAGCAGAGCACAGATATATTTTTTTTATCTTTGTCATTCCTGCAGTTGTGCCAGCTGAATACTGCCTTATAATATTCATTTCTGCAAACGCCCTCCCAAGAGGAACATGTGGCAGGGAAGATCAAGCTGTGCTTTCTGCTGAGCACAAAAGTCATGCAGGATGACCAGACCTTGACTGCCACACAACTTTCCTTTCAGCAATGTTTTTTTCCAGGAAAAGCATAGTCTATTTTCTTCAGAGCAGCCCCATATAGCAGTGGCCTGATAAAGTCAGTGCCCTGAGCGCCCTGTGATGGTGTTTCTTTCAGGTTGCCCCATGACATCTCAGGTGCAGACCAGGACTTGTCCGTGCTTTGCTGCTCAAGAGTGAGTGCAAAAAGCATGCACTTCCTCTGTTCCAGGATGACAAGCATTGTCTGGAGCTTTTACAGCATGTCTGCAACATTTAGTTAAGGGTTCACCTGGGCATAGAAAGACAAGGTGCTGCTTTCCCTCCAGACAGGAAATGGCAAAACTAAAGGGAATTAAGAGAGATGAACTGTGGTCCTGCCAGTAGAAAGTTACTTGGATTTAAATCCTACCACCGATGCCTACTCCGTACCATATAGTATTTCTACTATTCTGCATGACTCACATAGAAGCAGCAACATACCCAAATACGGGCAAGTACTTGCAGGTCCAGCTTGTAGTCTCTTAGGCAAGAGTAGCATAAATTACTCATAGGATAACACATGAATAAGCCTAAATGAGTCCAAAAACAGACTTCTTACACATAGCCACAAAAGGCACCAAGATCCAGGTTTTGGGTTGGATTTAGATAACATAGCCCCATTGATCACTGCTACAGTATCTAGTAAATAATTTGCTTTTCCACTTTAGAATCACGACTGAGCCCATAATTATTTAGCACCACATGCCAACTTCCCAAGCGAGTTAAAGATAAGGCACATTCATCAGCACTGCCATTGGTCTGCTTGTTCAGAATCAATGCCAACCACACCAGTAGGCTGTGGGTCAGGCAACCCGCAACTCCTTAGCTACAGGTTACACATAAAACAAGCATAGAAACATCTAAAACAACTATAAAAACAGGCGTGAGGAAAAATAGAACAATAAAAATAAAAGAAAAACCAGCACAATAATATTTGCTAGAAGCAACAGATTGTTTTAGGTCAGGATGATTTATATAATAATTGCATTTTGAGCAAAATCTGCCAGCTGATATATGCAAAACATAAATCACAACTGACTGAACTTGTTCATCAATATGGGAAGCTTCTTCTTGGAGAGGGAAGAGAGGGAGAAGCTTCTCTAATAAACAAAAATTAGAAGTATTTATTGCAGTATGCTTAAAATGCTATCTTTCTTGAAAATCTTTCTATTAACACATTTTCTTTTGGATTCATCTATCTTTATAAGAGATCTGTTCCCTTCTGTAGTCCCTGTGTGAAACCTCAGCTTTTTTCCACTCTGTTCCCTGCAAATCCTTGCAGCCAGCATCATACCAGACACCAAGCAGCTTTAATTGCTATCAGCAGCAATCAGGACAGGAAAAAAAAGAGAACATTCACCAAGCTGCAGCCAGGATGCAGAACAGGTAACTCTCAGCTGGGCATGGTCCCTCCATGCTTCCTCCTTGCCTGCAGGGGGGCTGTTGGAGATGCATGCAGATGAACACCTTCATGGCAGCCTCACTTTGAGCACTGTGTGCAGACTGGGGCACCACAGTGCAAAGAGGGCATAAACCTGTTAAAGAACCAAAGGAACGCTACAGAGATGGTGAAATACCCAGAGGGCAAGACGAATTGGGAGCAGCAGAGATCCCTGGGTGTGCTCAATGCAGAGCAGAGGAGCTGAGGGGAGGCCTGATGGCGGCTGCAGCTCCTCACAGGGAGTGGAGGGCAGTGCTGAGCTCTGCTGGTGTGACAGCAACAGGGAGAGAACGGCATGGAGCTGCATCAGGGGAGGGCAGCTGGGGATTAGGGACAGGTGCTGCACCACAGGGCAATGGGCACAACCTCAAGCTGCCCAAGTGCAAGGAGCATCTGAACAGCACTATTGTAGCGTGTGTCTGAGATTTGGGTGGTGCTGTGTGGAGGCAAAAGTTGGACTCAGTGGTCCTTACACCTATCTCTTCCAACTCAGGGTATTCTATGATTTTCCGAAATGGTACAAGGTTAGTCATAGCTTGCCTCATAATATACCATCATTCCAAATGATGGTATATTAACTTCTCTTTATAAAACATTTGCAATTCTATAGAGGGAATTGGAGTTGGAGGGAAACATGTTCCAAGTACCTGTCTCCAAGCTGTGAATTATAGGAAAATCTGAACAGCTTGAACACTAATTCAGAAAGGTGAGCTGTTGTAACTTCATGCAAAGAAGTTGAAGAGATTTTACTGTAACATACTTTCAGTTACTATAATTATTGAACCCTGTATTCAAACAAACTCTGCAGACAGACAATCCACAGACAAACCCCCAGGGTGATATTTGAAGGCAGGAGTTGTAAATAACACATAGGAGTAACAGCTGGAGTCTTTAGCAACGAGGCGATTCGAGTCCTGTGTCCCCATGCTCTGAATTTGTCCTGCAGAATCCAATTGCAATTTCTGCACCAAAGTATTTGTGACACTTCACTGCCACCAAGAGCTTCCAAAGCCATATTGTGCTTTTTTTTTTTTTTTTTTAATAGCATACCTTCTTCCTGACTTCAGGGGAGAAGATGCTGGAAAATAACAAACAGAAACTGCTACTTTTGTCTCAGTCATTCTTTTCTCACACCAATGCAAGTTTTACTCTCTCCCAGCCTGTTTCACCTCAGCAGTTTGGGAAGGCAGTGCTTTACTCCTAGGGATTCCTGTACTTGTTCAGTGTCAGTGACTCCTACTGCTAGCACAGGGATTGTTGTGGTTGAAGTGAATCAGAAGTTCAGAAAACAAGCAGCAAAAACAGAACTTCAGTTGTTTTTTTTTTTTTTTTTGTAGCAATACTTATCATATTAATAAAATAATCAGAAGACAAAGGGAAAGTTTGCATGAAATTATATCAGGATGACCAGAGAAGCTCATACCAAAAGTCAACAAGAGGACTCCTATCACAGGTTGTAGGACAAACTCTCATCCTAAGCACACATCCAGAAGTTTTTACAAGACACAGTCATCGTCTTATCTACAGATGTATCCTCACATTCCTACCATAGCACAGCTCTAACATCCCATGTGAAAAAGAAGGAAGCTGAATGTGCCCCAGGTCTACTCCCCTACTGCTGCCAGTGCTACCTCCAAGTTATAACATAAGCACCTTAAGAAACAAGCAGATGACAAAGCACTACAGTTCCCTAAAAGCAAATCCTTCCAAAGATGCAGACTTCAAGTTTTGTTATCAAATGAGCAAGTGCTCATTATTTGATAAGATGGAAAGTGTAATACTCAGCAAAATTATGACATATGGGTACACTTTGACATTAAAAAGAACAAACAAATTCCCGCACTTCAGTTTTTCTTCTAATCTTTCATTGGAATACATGACTAGTGATATTTCAAATAGATAAATGCTGTTTTACTAAAAAGCATCAGGCTTTTCAGAATTTTAATCCTTGTTCTTATAACAGCCACTAACACAGAGGCACTAAAATTAATATAAGGTCTGCTCTTGGTAGATACTATTGTTTCCCAAGAAAATTCCCCCTAATCCCCCCACGTCACCACTTAGTAGCAGACCTTAATTGCACATTTCCAGAAGTAGTAAATATTTGGATGACAATTTCCTTCTGTGTTTTTTTTCCGTATTTGATTAATTCATAATGATGGAATTAGAGATTTCCTCCTTACTTAAGCTTGATATAAGCCTCATTTACGGAACTTCAAGATTAGGATAATTTGAATGATTCCATATTTCTGATGTTTTATAAACATAACGAGAGGAAACAACTTCATATGTTGTTTACTTCATTATCTAGAGGTCAAGTAGTTATTTGGTATGGAGGGGATAACGGTAATGAATTATAGAGTAAACAAAATAACATCATCATCACTTATGCATATTAAAACTGTGCCTGAAGACAAGCTGCTGTTCTGGCAACACACAAACAACTCAGCCCTTATCCATAAAGAACTGTTAGGTTTTAAATACCTGAGCCAGTAGAGGACAAGCACAACAACAAGAAATAGAAATAGAACAAGAGTTATGATGCTCAAATATCAGGTTGTTAGTTTTTTGTTTGTTTTGTTTTCTCCTTTTTAAGTCTTTGCTCTAGGGCTCACTTAGAAAAGCAACATTTAAGTAAGAGAGAAAACCTAACGAAAGGTAGAAAATCAAAGTGAATAGCCAGAAGAAAGGAGTCAGCCCAGTTCACACACACAAAAAAAATGAAGTCTGTCAAAAATGCCCTGTTTCCAAAAGGCAGCATAGCCTCCACAACCACAGCAAGTGCTCCAAGACCACTAGAAATAACCACAGTACCTTTTCCTGGTGCCCATGCTTTCCAGTCCTTAAGGTACAGCTTCTTCCAGGATTACCCCAAGTTTTTACCAGCTATTCTAGTTGAGACAGAAATCACGGTTTACAACATTGCTCTCCTGCAGCTGAGAGTGGTAAGGAGATGAGTGGGCCCAGGTGGAGCTTGTTGCCTCTGCAGTGGCAAATGAGGTAGCACAATCTGCTTTTCCATCCTTCATAGGTTAATATGGAACTCATCATGTTTATTGAGGAAAATAGCCTGAATAACTGAGTAGATTCTTACCTAAAGATAAAAGTTATAACAGCAAAGATAAGTGATTAAGCTATGTTTAATTAGTATAAACACATATCCTTGTGAAACTCCTTATCTTTTTCTTCTTTGATGTCCTGATTGATAAGTTGCTGGAGCGTGTGAGCATATCAGAGGTTACTAGCAAGCTTAGAAGGGGCAAACGAATATAGAGAGGGATAGATAGTACAGTAAATGCAGTAATAGTTTGCAGTATTGAAAACAGTATGAGGAAAACAAATATGAGCCTTGAGCTCTGAACTGTGATTCTTCCACTTTCCAGCCTGAACAGTAAGAACCTTTTACAGCTATTTAAGTACCAACAAGCACAAGCTCTACAAATTGCCTCAGTGCCCAGATATCATGCCTGTACAATGTACCTGTGCCTGTAACTTCATCTCATACCAAATTTAAAGTGATATAACCTGAGGGACGCTTTTACGTGATGCTTTCAGACCTTGGACAGGATCTCTAGAGTGGTGGGAGGCATCTGAGATGGACTATGCAGCACTGCAGTCACAACCATGCCACCTCCTGAGAGAGCAATAGGGGAAACATAAAGGGAAACTCAGAGATGAGAAGAAAAGTGCTCATGGTGGTAGAAGACAGCTGAAGCAGAGCAATGGGTGCAATATACATGATGTGAGAGGGAAACTAGGCTTCATGTGGCCATTGTTTCTCTAAGGAAGCTCTAATTGTCACATAAATCACTTGGGCTTTCCTCTGGCTGAAATTCCACTCTCAGATGGTGGTTACTTGCTGATAATGGACTGTAGCATCATTTGCTGTAAATCAGGGTGGCTCTGCAAATGCCAAGGCAGTTAGTTAGACTGATATAAACCAGCTGAGAATCTGGCCCTGAACATCATGCAAACATGCAGCACAAAGGTGCCATCCGCTCAGTGGATTTACAGACATTCTCTGCTAGAATGAATGGGCTTGTCCTTATAATTCACTGCTTTCTATATCACCGATGTTCTGAGTCCAGAGCTGGCATGGCCATTCTTATTCTATGCAGCTTGCAGCCTTGCTCTGGACCACAGTGCCTTGCTCACAGTTTTGTTATACAGAGAAGCTGGGATGCTGCATCCCAATACGCAGACAGGATGTGCCTAAGGTGAAGACTCCATCCCAGGGCTGGGAATCTCTCTGCCTCCCTCCTTGAAGCTCCTTCAGAACTCTCATCCCATTGAGGAACACCCCTCATCCACTGTGTTTGGTCAGCACTGCAGCAGAAATGAAGGAGCTTGTGGGTCCACATGCAGAGCTTCCCAGCATGTGAATTCCATCCCAACAGTGCTATTAATGAGCACTAGAGAAGGCATTAGCTGCTGCTGGGAAATTACAATTTTCCTGGCTATTTTTGTCTCGGGGTTCTCTGTGTAAAGCTAACTTGGCACCATGTCTCTGTGATGACTATTTACATAATTACAACTGGCTTCTGCTCTAACCCACAACCTTAGGAGTCCCAGGCTCTTTCACATGGATGAAGGAAAATGAAACTTGCACATTGCTTTTGAAATCTGTCTCTGAAAATCTCTGATAGCAGCAAGCACTGATTACATCACACATACATCACACAAACAGACATGTTTTTCAATGGGGATTTCAGATTTCCTATTTCTAATTATTTATAGAAATGCCCTTTCCCTCTGATCTCCTCAAACCTTAGTGCTTGCTTGCTGTGAAAAATGATTCACATGGGGCTGCATGTATTGTGTTACTGTGTGTTTGTTCATTGCCATGCATTTGCTGATCCAGAAAACTGAGTCTGAAAATGGTTTCTGGGGAATGGCTCCCAATAAAAACAGTGCCAGTGGCCTCATCCAGCCTCCAAATCCTTGAGGTACTACTGAAATTAACTTGAATTGCAAGCAGTAGTGTAAGTGAATGTCTTCATTTTTTTCTACCAAATATTTATAGCATCTATTTTCTCTTCATTGGCAGATTTTGCAACAGATGTTTTAATGAGTTTACCCTCACAGAAGATTAGCTCTGTTAATTTACAGAGTTAATTGTAGTGCTAGATGAACCTGCCATGATTTAAGCAGGCATTTAAGTTAGAACTGGAGTTTAAACGTTTCTTTGAACTTTGACCAAATCAGTTTTATCCATGAAACCAGACAGAAGCTAGGATTCCCATGGGACCCCACGGTCAAGATCCTGCCAATACATCATGGAGGTGCAAAGGAAAATAAGTGATGAGGAAGGAATGTAAGCACAGTTTTGGTGAGCTTAAAGGGTTACTACAGGACTAGACCAGCCTGCAGATAGACTGCAGAAAGATGTGCATAGCCTTCAGACTGCCCTTTTCCCCATTTCACCAATATTTTTTTGCTCCTCCCAAGGGCTGAGCAAATGCTGGTGCCCAGCTGGTGCAGGGATGCTTGTGTCATGTTGAAAGCTGATTGCCAGGGCCCCACTCTGATTTACTGACTTCCCATCAAGTGTATTACTACCCTGTAGCAACAAAGCAAAATCTGATTCTCAGTGATGCTGAGACAGCTCCTGCAGATCTCAGGAAGGCTGCACACAGCAGAAGCCTCAGTGTGAGCTGGTGCTGTAGGGAGCTTTGCTGCCCTCTGTCACACACTCAATAATAATTTCCAGTGAAATTATCTACAGTATATTTTTAAAAGACCAATCGAATGTGAAACATTCTAATGACTAAGTGTTGTTTTCACCTTTTATAATGGACTGCTGAGAGAAGTGTACTTTGTCACCAATGAAAAGTGTATTTTAAGAGATGGAATTGTTTCTTATGAGAAATCACTAAGGTGATCCATTTTGACATCTTAATTATCCTGCCCCCCCTCAGCACTGATGAGACCTCACTGGAACACTGCATCAGGATGTGGAGTCCTCAAAGCAGAAGAGAAGATTGCACCCAGAGGAGGATGATCCAAGGGATGGAGAGGACAGGCTGAGAGAGCTGTGCCTGTTCAGCTTGGAGAAGAGAGGGCTCTGAGATGATCTCATAGTGGCCTTCCAGTATCTAAAGGGAGAGTATAGGAAAGAAGGGGACAGACTTTCTGGCAGGGTCTGTTGTGATAGGATGAGGGGAAATTATTTCCAACTAAAAGAGGGGAGATTCAGATTGGATATAAAGAAACAGTTATTTTTTTTTTTACCATAAGAGTAGTGAGGGGCTGGAACAGGTTGCCTAGAGAGCTGGTGGAAATCCCATCCCTGGAAACACTCAAAGTCAGGCTGGACGGGGCTCTGAGCAAACCAATCTAGTTGTGCATTGCAGCAGAGTTGGAACAGATGACCTTTAAAGGTCCCTTCCAACTCAAACCATTCTATTACTCTTTGATGCAACAAGATTTCCACAGCAGCCTAAAAATAATGCTAATTTATTTGAGTAAGTTCTGAAAAAAAAAGTTTGAAGCACAGTAAGTGGAACATGAAGCAGTAAGAGAGCAATTTGCTTTGTGATATGCCATCCTAACTAGGGAGCAATGTAACCACGCAAATAGCATTACACATATCAGGTTGGGCAGGGGAAGTTTTCCTTCTGTCCTGGAGTTGGTTCGTACAACCACAACACCGGATAGACTGCAAAAAAGAGCACTGCTAGGCAGCTGGGATCTCATCAGTAACTGAACTCATTAGTGGTGTGTGGTGACTTGCGCTGTCATTTACCTCAATAGACTTAGAGGAGTGAATTGGTGTCTTTTCTGATTTTTCTTTCAAACATTGCTGCTGCTCTGTGTAAATACTTCTTCACAGGCAATTAAAAGACCAAAGACAGGAGCAGGAGTTAGAGAGACAACACTGTGTCTTAATTAGATTTTTTGCAAGTAATTGACCCAGGCATGCAAATGGATGTCTGAGATTTGCTACTGCTGTTGCTGTTTTATCTGAAACAGTTTTTCATTAAATTAAGTTTTTTTTTACCAGACATGAAAACTTTCAATAACAAAAGGTTTTGATCTTTTAGGGTTTGAGGGTGGAAAACAGGACTCACTTCTTAACTGCATCTAAAATTCACTCTAAAAAAATCTAAACCAAAATAACACTATATACAATAATAATACCCTGGGCTCCATCAAAAGAGGGGTAGCCAGAAGGGACAGGGAGGTGATTGTCCCCCTCTACTCTGCTCTTGTGAGGCCCCATCTGGAGTACTGCGTCCAAGTGTGGGGCTCCCAGTACAAAAAAGACAGGGAGCTGTTGGAGAGGGTCCAGAGGAGAGCCACGAGGATGATCAGGGGACTGGAGCACCTCCCATGTGAAGACAGGCTGAGGGAGCTGGGCTTGTTCAGCCTGGAGAAAAGAAGGCTGCGGGGTGACCTCACTGCAGCTTTTCAGTACCTAAAGGGAGCCTACAAGCAGGAGGGGAACCAACTCTTTGAAAGGGTTGATAACAGCAGGACAAGGGGAAATGGTTTTAAGTTGAGGGAGATTTAGGTTGGATGTCAGGGGGAAGTTCTTTAGAGAGAGTGGTGAGGTGCTGGAACAGGCTGCCCAGAGAGTTGTGGATGCCCCATCCCTGGAGGTGTTCAAGGTCAGGTTGGATGGGGCCCTGGGCAGCCTGGTCTAGTATTAAATGGGGAGGTTGGTGGCCCAGCATGTGGCAGGGAGTTGGAGATTCATGATCCTTGAGGTCCCTTCTAACCCTGGCCATTCTGTGATTCTGTGATTCTGTGAACATAATACTAATATTGCTCCATGGAATGAGAAGTATGAGCATACAAATAGATATAAAAGTTATGTTCACAATGAATCAAACATTTAACATCCCAATAATTTATTGTTGAAGCATACAATATTAAAAAACGAATATGGACATGAAAATCTTACCAGTTGGAGTATCAAACACTACTCTTATATCATATTTTTTATAAAATTAGTGAAGAGCACAAATAAAAAGAATAGCTTATGTCTT